CTGTACTACTGTAGTTGATTTATGGATTTATATAAAGTAATATTGCTTTTAATAACTAGGGTCAATTGTTTACAAATTTAGCCATGAATAACTTCTCTTCCCCTTTCTGTGTATGCCACTCCTCCCTTCAAGGGCTGGAATCTATTTCACCTCCCCTTGAATGCAGGCTGGGCTTGCAATTTGCCTTGACCAATGGAATGCAGTGGAAGTGATGTTTGTGACTCCCAGAGCTAGGCTTTACTTAAAAGGTGTTGCAGCTTCCATTTCTACCCTCTTGCAGGCCAGCAAACATGTCATAGAATCTGCGTGTTTTGCTTGAGAGCCCCCTTAAAGGGGAAAAGGCTCAGATTAGAAACTGTAGATGTGAGGATATTGAGTAGTCTGAATGAGTTCCCATACAGGGAATAGCAGAGGGCCAAAGACAAACTGCCCCTACTAGGCCTGATTGTGTGGCTGAGAAGGAACCAAGGAATGAAGTAGAGGAGTTTCATGATGGTGGTTTCAACTGACTTTGGAAACTTGTTGACCTGCCCTGGGTTTGGCACTTGGCGAGGTCAGAGCTGTCAGTGTTGGCTGATATAAGGACTTATCCATTAGAATGATAACCATAATTGTGTTAGATGGTTGCTGGCCCTTGGATCTCCGGAGTAGGGCACTTTTTTCTAACCATTGGCCCTGGGAATTGGCTCCTAAACACATTGCAGAAGCCCTATTGCAAAAGCTACCCTGAACACTGTGAAGGGTTGAATTTTATCTCCCCCAAATTAATATGTTGAAATTCTAAACCTTAGTACCTCGGAATATGACCTTATTTGGAAATAGTGTCATTCCAGATGTAATTAGTTAAAATGAGGTCATACTGCAGGAGGGTGGTCCCTATTGCAATCTGACTGATGTCCTTATAGAAAGAGGAAATTTGGACAGACGGAGAGAATACCATGTGAAGATGAAGGCAGAGATCAGGTGATGCAGGAGCCGCGGAATGCTGAAGATTGCTAGCAAGCCACGGGAAGCCAGGCAAGCGGCATAGGCACATTCTCTCTCATGGCTCTCAGAGGGACACTTGATCTTGGAATTCCAGTCTTCACAACTGTGAGACAATACACTTCTGTTATTTAAACCTCCCAATCCATGGTCTTTTGTTATGGCAGCCCTTGGAAATGGATACAAGCACCCATGCCTCTTCCTCTCCTTTCCTCGAATCTCTGCAGTTCTGGGTGGATGATCACAGGGATAAACTTGTGCCTATGATGAGGAAGCTGCCAGGTGCCATCAGGTTTAATCTAGTTAAAAATGAAAATTCTCATTTCTTCAAAAGATTTGTGAAAGTCAATTGATTGGATATTGCAGGTACAAGGAAAAGGAGATAATTTTTGATAGGAGGACCCCTTTAATACACTGGAAATAATACCAAATACGTTGTTTCATCTACTTTCTTTGAGACCTTTCTACCCAAGAATGTCACTTATTCCAGAGTTTTCTGGGTGTTAACCTTAAGTTGTTTTTCTCCACAAACCTGATTTATCCTAACTGTATTAGTATTGGCGCTTGATTATTCCCATCTAATCATTTGTATGATTTTTAGTGGCATAATTGTTGAAAGCTGATATTAGAATCTTCAAAGTGGCATATCCTATTCAGCAGTGTTTAGTGCTTTATAATAACAATAATATTGGATGCATTATGCAGTAATAATGGAAATCACATTTGCAAAATCATTGCAGTAATGGGACGTTTTAAAATGCGAGAAATAGAAAAAGCACACTGGAAGAGCAGAGCATGTTTTATTCACAGCCTTTTGGCTGCCTGTACTCTCAGGTCAGAAGGCAGAGAAGAGCTTATGTGCTCCCCAGGGGGCACCACCCTGGGCTGCATGATTTAGGCGGCTTTTCAGTCACTGGAATCAAAAGAGGGTGGGAGCATTGTTGTGTTTGAAAATACTTTTTGCTCTTTAGAATAGATTAGCATTTTATAAATGAAAATTGGATTTTCAAAGAAAGGCTCTGCTGCAATTTAGCCTAATGATTTGGTTCCCTTTGATTTGCTCATAACTTCTGATTGATAGTTTATTTTTAAGATGTTTGGAATAAATATACAAAATATATTCCTTATACATCACTAATAGAGTTTTTAGGTCAATTTAAAGCTGATGAACTTTACTCTGTCCCTTTAATACTTCGATGTATTCCTCACATTCAACATATGCAAACTCACAGAAAACCATGGTGAACATGACTCTGTAAGGAACCTAAGACATTTTTGGCTATGTGAATTGATAGAACAAATGCTGGTTTTAGGTTCTGGATATCTTCTGTACCAATTAGACAATTTCATGAAGTTTTGATTAAATATTTCCTTTGGCAGCTTAATTCCCCTTATTCCAGGATTATTCTGTTTAAAATTTGCCAAGATTAAACAAAGCCATGGACATGCCAGGGCAGCAGAGTTGGGAAAAATGAGTGAAATAATTTATTTATTAATAGTGTTTTATTTTTATTTATTTATTTTTATTTTTTATTTTTTTTTGTAGAGATGAGGTCTCACTATGTTGTCCACGGTTGTCTTGAACTCCTGGGCTCAAGTGATCCACCTGCTGGGATTACAGGCATGAGCCACTGCACCCAGCTAAATTCACTGTGTCTGATTCACAATAATTATTTTAGCCTGTTGTGTATTCACATGCAACCTGTCTTTGCTCAGTTCCTCTCATGAAGAAAGGTTTTGTTTTGTTTTAACTTTTTCTCTTTGAGTTTGGAACTATTGAATGGACAAGCTGGTTTACAGACACCCAGTCTTTCCTAAGGCACTCAGTATTCTTGGGGTATTACCATCACTTTTTCCTTGGTGGACCAGGAGGTACAATCCAAGGCAAGAATGTGAAACCGTGTCTCACAGAGTCTCAGGCATCAGGACAAAGCCCATTTTCTTGTAGCTGTTATATGTAAATTCTGTGTACCTTCTCTTCCATTCAACTCTGAAATCACCCAAGGAACGTGTGTTAGGCTGCTGTTGTGTTGCTATAAAGAAATATCTGAAGCTGGGTAATTTATAAAGCAAAGAGGCTTACTTGGCTTATGGTTCTGCAGGCTGTACAGGAAGCATGGTGCCGGTACTAGCTCCTGGTGAGGCCTCAGGGAGCTTACAATCATGGTGGGAGGTGAGGAGGCTCCAGCCTGTCAGATGGCAAGAGAGGGAACAAGAGAGAGGGGGGCAGAGGTGCCACACTCTTTCTAAACAGCCAGATCTTACGTGAACTCAGAGCTAGAACTCACTCACTATCTCGAGGACAGCACCAAACCATTCTTGAGGGATCCACCCCTATGACCCAAACACCTCCCACCACACCCCACTTCTACCATTGGGAATCATATTTCAAGATGATATTTGGACAGGACAAACATCCAAACTATGTCAGAATGTTTCTGTGGCACAAGGAGCCTCACATTTGAGCCTCATATGAGAAACTTATCAAACAGAGATGCAATGAGAAGGGAAATAATGGGTAGCATACATCTTGGTGTTTATCTGTTTTTCTAAACAAGCAAAGTTATTTTCACTTTCATGGGGCAGGATATTCATGACTTCAGTCAGCAGCTTCCTGAAGGGCTGCTTAAGGTTCTGCTGTCCCCTCGTGGGGCTACAGCCTTTGCAATGATTTCCTCCAGCCTCATTATTCCAGTTTATGTCTGAATGCTGTCAGCTTTCCTCCATGTGGTAAAATTATCCCCCTTGAAAAGTGCTCTGCAAATGTAAACTGGCAATATTGATAATAATACTTTATTCACTGACCTATATTCACTCTCTAGATAGCACCTTATTTTCCAGACTCCAAACCTCTTTGGGACTCTGAGTTACCCATTTTTCCTCTTGGGTGTATTGGAAGAGGCAATGTTATGTAGGGCTTACGAACACAGGCTCTGTAGACAGACTCTGTTCAGAGTTCACCACTGCCTCTCTAGCCATGTGACTGGGGATGGGTTCCTCACTGAGTCTGGTTTCCTAAACTTTAGGGATACTCACAGAATCACCCTTACAGTGTTGTTGAGACGATTAAATGGATATTGCAAGGGGAAACCCTTAGCATGGTGTCAGGTACATATAATTACTTGGTAAAGATGAACTTTCACTGTGTTTAGGGTTCTGGTGTTCTAACGGATTTTTTGCATGGGCAGTGAAGAGGAGCGGATTCTCATGACTTGATTAATTGCAAAATATTGACCTTCCAATCCTCTTCTTCCTTTATTCTGTCTCACTTGAATGTGAACTTGTGTTCATTAAATAAGCAGAGGATGGTGTTGCTGCTTTTTTTTTTTTTTTTAGAATGCTATACTGGTATATACATTGTAAAGAAATCATAGAATAATAATTTTTTTTATAGTCCAATATTCAGATACTCAATAACTTTTTCCTTGGTGTCCAGTCTTGATGAAGTTGGAGTTGGGGGAATGAGGCTTGCGAGATAGTCCCTGCAGGCAGCGGCCCTCTGTCACTTCCTTTCTGTAGACACCTTCTGTCAGGACTTGGCTGAGTTTCCTGGGGTGGCAGATAGTTTGTGGGGTGCACAGAGGTCTGTGATACACTCGCTCTACCTTCTCCTTCTCAGATATCCATTCCCACTGGGCAAAAAGCAAGACAGTCTGCTGTGATTTTTGCCTGGCATTTCATCATTTGTGTATTAACATATGTTAACATAACAGGCTCACGCCTGTAGTCCCAGCTACTCAGGAGGTGGAGGCAGGAGGATTGCTTGAACCCAGGAGTTTTATACCAGCCTAGGCAACATATTGAGACCCCCATCTCTTAAAAACAAGAACAAAAACCCAAAACATTTAGTATGGAATGGGGTTAGAAATTCATGTCATAAATGGCCACTTGAAAACCACTCTCAGCTCTAAAATTTTAAAAATTCTGCTTCCTTCAGAGATAGTTATAATGTGAAACTCCCGATATCAAGATGGCTTTACTAAATCTGCTGATCTCATTTCATTGCTTTATTATAGATTGACGTTCTCAAGGCAGATCTGGAAAGTGCAGAATGGAAAGTTTTGGAAAATCTTATTCTGGAAGATGTTCTTGAGCGGATTGGACAGCTCATCTTTGAGATCCATCTCCACTGGCCTGGGTTTGAGGTCAGTGGCAGTGACAGCAGCGTCGTGAGGTTCTGGTACAGCCTTCTCAAAGAGTTAGAACAAAAGGATTTCAGGCTTTTTCACAGTTATAAAGATTTATCTAAACCTCAGCTATTCTTGAAGAAAGACATTTTCAATGCAAGTAGCTGTTACACTCTGAGTTGGGTGAATACAAGATGGAAATAGGATGCAGGATGTCCTCAAGAGCACAAGAAAATATTTGAAGAATGGAGCATGTCCGCGATTCTAATCATGAGTTTACTCATCCAGTCTCCCGCTAGCCTGTGCCCTGCTTGAGGCAGGGAGTGTGTTATTGCCTTTGCAGTGCATGCAGCCTGGTGCTTGGCATGTGATAGGGGCACAGTTAATACTTGTTAAAGGGAGGAACACAGTCACCCCTATTTGCCCAGACGCTTCCTTCACCGTAACCTGGAAGATTATCCCCCATTCATCTCAGTTTTCCCTAAAATTCTCTGTGTATCTGTAATCTATGAATTCACCAACATTGAAATGAAATTATATACATTTCCTTTTTTACTAGGTTGGTGAGATTTTTAAGTTCTTCGCCTACTGTTTAAAATGGGTTTTAAATTTGAATTTGACTCTGCTTTTTCAAGATTTTTCTTATTTACCTTGTCAGTGATATTCTTTACAACATTGTTGATTTCAGTCATTCCTTCTCAGCCTTTGCTGAGGCCGTGCTGTGGCTTTATAAGCAGCAATACTTCTGATTTCTGGGAATTCGGATGCACCAAATTCTGTCACTGAGTTAAAGAGACTAGACTATCAAGAGTTTCAACTCGAAGGTGTAAGTTCCAGTTCGAGACCAAGTCTGAAGGCAGGAGACCCATGTCCCAGCTTGAAGACAGCCAGACAGAATGAATTCTTCCTTACTCTGCCTTAGGTTCTATTTAGGCCTTCAGGTGGTCGAATGAGGTCCACTCACACAGAGGTGAAGAATCTGCTTTATTCAGTCAACTGATTTAAATATTAATCTCATCTAGAAATATCCTCATAGATATACCTAGAATAATGTTTAACTAAAGATCTGGACGCCCTTTAGTCAAGATGACACATGAAATTAACCATTGTAGGTAGGTAGATGGATAGATAGATAGTTAGATATATAGATAGGTTTTCCTACTGGCATGTTTCACCATTTTCTTGATTCACATATTCTTGTTTCCATCTGGCTCCTTCAGTCTGTGCTCTCCTCGCTGAAGTAAGTCCTTTAATGCTTACTTCATTATGAGTCCATGAGTGATATGGTTTGGCTATGTCCCCAGCCAAATCTCATCTTGAATTGTAGTGCCCATAATACCCACATGTTGTGGGAAGGACTTGGTGAGAGGTAGTAGAATCATGGGGGTGGTTTCCCCCATGCTATTCTCGTGATACTAAGTTCTCATGAGATCTGATGGTTTTATAAGGGGCATCCCCCTTCACTTGGCTCTCATTCTTCTCCTTCCTGCTGCCATGTGAAGAAGGATGTGTTTGCTTCCCCTTCCACCATGACTGTTTCCTGAGGCCTCCCCAGCCATGCTAAACTGTGAGTCAATTAAATTTCTTTCCTTTATAAATTACTCAGTCTCAGGTATATCTTCATAGCAGTGTGAGAATGGACTAATACAATGGGTATTACACTTTTTAGATTTTACATATTTGAAAAAGCACTTGCTTTTCATACCTGAATAAAGTTTATTTGTGCACAGGCAAAAAAAAGAGCTTCAACTCAAGATGTTTTTTATACTCAACCTTAATTCCCCTTCACTTCCTATTAAACTAAGCACAGAGCAGGATCTGGGTATCTTTGCTCTTGCCTCTTCTGCCTTCAAACATGATTTTTCCACCCACAGACTTGCCTATGCTGTCAAATCATTTTTTAAAAATACGTTATATCTAATAATGTTAAGTGCATTTTTCTTTACTCCCAGTTGGCATCACTTACACGACTGTGGCCTGAGGACCATCGTCTCATTTTCCTAGGATAGTTAGACAGTTTTTCAATAGCACCAATCCTTTCTACATTAAAAATTAAATGGAAAGTTTAGGTTATCAGTGCTTCAAATGCTCTCTCTCTCATTACTATTTACAGGATTAAACACGTGCATAATTTTCCAAAATCCTATTTCAAATAAATAGCATAAAAAACAAATTATTACTTTATTGTCAATTAAATATATTTTTTGGCATTTTTTTTTCCTGAGTATAAAACTGTATGTACATTGTTCAAGAATTGGGGGGAGGGAGTAGAATACTGATTATTACTAGACTTTACCCCTTTTCCCAATTTTGTACTTCCTTCTACCCTCAGACATTCCCCAGGTTGGCTCTTTGTTTCTTGAAGTGGTTTGAAAATGCCATTCCTCAAGTGAGAAATCAAACCATATTAGACTAGGATGAACTCACTAGCTTGAGTTGAAAGAGAACAGGACTTTCTGAGTTAGTTGTGATAATTAAAAAATACATATACACATGAGCTTTTTATTTTAAAACTCATAGTCCACTAATAAAAGTTGTTGAGCTGAGAGGACCAGCTTGAGTAAGAGTGATCTGAAAAGGCAGTTTAGTCATTTCAATGTACAGAGGTATTTCAGATGTGCGGAAGGGTCCACGCACACTCTAAATTGGTTTATACTGTTAGTTTATATGGTGTCATCTCCAAAGCAAAGCTTTAGGCCAGTTCTGTTTGGATTATATAACAGATTTATTTTCATAAAATTTTTATATACTGAAATATATAAACATTTTTATACATTAAAATGTGGAAAGTGTATTCATCTTAAATGTCCAGTCTGATCAGCTTTTAGATATGTAACACACCCATATTAAGATTTTTAATTCGTGGAATTGGAGATTTAGGGCATTACTGAAAGCCCCTTTGTCTACGGCAAGTTAACTATTTACTTCAGGTTGGTGGTGTCGAGCATTGACTTCATCATGCTATATGTATCTGAAGCAAGAATGAATGTACTGTTAAAAAAGAATAAATCATGAACATACCCAGCCACATTCACTGACCAGGCAGCCTGTTTAATAGTTACTCATACTTATTTTATGCTTATTTCTAAAACGGTCCCTTTCATTCCCTTCATGGATAGTTTGAAATTTGTGATGAGTACTCTGATGGTTGTTAAGGTGTCCCTGCCTCTAGAGTTTATTATGTTTATCATGTAGGCCAGGGTTTCTTAACCTCAACACTATTGCCATTTGGGCTGGATAATTCTTTACTGGGGAAGGGCTGTTCTGTGCATTGTAGGATATGTCCCCAAGGGGGCAAGATCACCCACTGTGGAGAACTACCGGTGCAGGCCATGAGAAGGGGACCAGGCTACTGTAGCACTGTTTGCTTGTGAACAGGCGAACACAAGATCCTCTTATGAGGAACAGGCAAAACCATAATCATCACCACCACAACCACCACAAGAGCAACACAAACAACACATAACAAACAAACAAAATCAAGTTACTCTTTCCTGAGAGCTTACTGCCCACCAGACCATGTGCATAGCTTATTCCTGATTCTCCCAACAAGGAAGTTTATTTTTTTCCAATATTATGGGTAAAGAAATTCTGAGAGAGGCTGGGCGCAGTGGTTCACGCCTGTAATCCCAGCACTTTGGGAGGCCGAGGCAGGCGGATCACGAGGTCAGGAGATCGAGACCATCCTGGCTAACACATTGAAACCCCGTCTCTACTAAAAATACAAAAACTTAGTGGGCGTGGTGGCATGTGCCTGTTGTCCCAGCTACTCGGGAGGCTGAGGCAGGAGAATTGCTTAAACCTGGGAGGTGGAGGTTGCAGTGACTCAAGATCACGCCACCGCACTCCAGCCTGGGGGACACAGAGAGACTCCATGTTAAAAAAAAAAAAAAAAAAAAGAAGAAGAAGAAAGAAACTCTGAGAGGTTAAATGGCTTACTCAGATTACTCAGGTTGTAGATGGAGGAACAGTCATTTACATTTGGGTCTGTCAGATCCCCAAAAGCCCGTGTTTGGTCCCATCCACAATGCAGTTTCCAAAGCCTGTACCAAACATAAGATGCTGTGTCCAAAGGACGCATTTTTGCCTCCCTGTTAGTAAAAGCGGAGTGGGGGGAAACTACAAATAAAAAAGGCCTGCAAGTTTGAGTCAGAATTATTTTGTAGCATGCAGGGTTGCTGAACTTAAATCATCTACTTGATTAAAGTGGGCCTGCCAAATGGAAGCTTACTGAAGAAATATGGAGACCCAACAACTTCTCTGTCAATATATTTAGGTTGCCAGAAAAGCTCTTGCAGGCCTGGAAATGACTCTTCTTCTGGCTTGTCCCAATACTTGTAACTTTCCTTCCGGGTTTTAGAAATGGCAGTCACTTGGAGTTGCTTAAGCAAGGTAATTCTCCTTTGCTTAAAACTAGTCTTTGACTTGCAGATAAATGAGCTAAGATGTGAATATCTGTGACATGCATCTCCTGAATTTTTACTAGAGCAGTGTTCATAAAGGATTCTGAAAATACCCATTTGATAATGCTCTTATCAAATAAGTAACAATGCTCTTTTGTAGGTGTAAGCCATATGAGGATGAAAGAAATTCACAATTTGCCTTTTAGCATAAACTGTGTCATAATTTGTTAAAGAAAAACAATTTTCCCCTTCTTTTCTTACAGTGCTTATATTTGATGCAGTTAAAATAGAAAAGGTTATCATATAAATATTTGTAACTATTTGACATGTTCAAATGAAGAACCAGGGAGAAGTGAACAAATTTCTGCTAGAATTAACCGAAAGTCCGAATTTACCTCAGGATAGGGCATAAACAAACTCATGGGTTAACAGTGTTTAGTACAAATCAGTTATTCATGTAAGCCTTTCTGCTTTAGTTATAAGATCTTTTAGTAAGTATAAGAATTGCATTTTTTAGCATTAAATGTTTAGATTTTGCGAAGCTTGGATTAGTCCCTGGAAGCCAGGCTTATCATATTTTGCAAGTGTAAAAATGATGACCTCATTTAAATAGATCATTATACTTAACAATACAACAGTACCTCCAAGCTCAATTAGTGTAATGTTCTTTTCTGATGGAGATAAATTTGTGTTTGATTCTTAAGCAGTAACATAATTCTTTTTGTACTAGCCAATTGCTGATACTCTGTGGATTCAATAATACATTTAACCTTATGCTGAAATGTCTTACTTTTTCCTACATTGAAAGAGGTGCCTGAACTTATCAGATAAAATCATAACCCAAAGATTCAATATATTCTTAGAACTGCTTACATTTAGAGATTGTTCTTTAAATGACTTGATTATTTCTTAAGAAATATAAATCAAGCATTCTTAATGTTGTCACGCTTTATAACTATGTGGAGGCTGGGTGCAGTGCCATGTGCCTGTACTTCCAGCTAAGTGGGAGGATCACTGGAGTCCAGGAGTTTGAGACCAGCGTGGGCACCATAGTGAGACTCTATCTCAAAACAAACAAAAAAAACCAAACAAACAAAAAAGAGAACTATGTGGAAAAAATGGTTCCCAACACATTAAAATTTAATGCTTTCTTAAAACCAGCAACTTCTTATTTTTCTCAGATAGACTATTTTAACTTTTTGTTAGTGATTAGTTTTGTACAATGTGGCTATCTTAAATAATAAGGGATTTAAATTTGGGGGATCAAATTTGACTAAACTATTCAAGACTAGGGAATTTTAATAGAGAAACCAAGTGTGCCCAGGACTGATATCTAATCAGTGTGTACCAGTAGAGAAGAGCTATGTGCAACCTGGTGATTATAGTTAATAGCAATGTATCATATACTGGAAAATTGCTTAGAGAGTAGATTTAAAATATTCTCACCACAAAAAATAAGTATTTGAGGTATTGGATGTGTTAGTTGATTTAGTATTCCACAATGTATACATATAACAAAATATCACGTTGTGTGCCACAAATATATACAGTTTATTTGTCCACTAAAACAAAAGTATGTCCCTTGGAATACATTGGACATATTTATACTTTTTAAAAAAGTACCAGTAGAGATACAGTGGTTCCCTAATGGTCCCTCTCCACTGGAGACCCTCTCCCAGGATGCCCAGGCCTCTCCCCATGACTGGGCAATTAAAGGCTAACGCACAGCACAAAAGGCAGCTTCCAGGATCCCGACCCAGCACTGTGGCTTGCTTCTGTTCTAATTGGCCTATCTTCTGCCTTACTTGTCATTGGATATTTTGAATATCACTCCTGGGTGAATCTATATAATAAACAAAGGTCCAAGTGTGTTCTATAACATAATGAGAAACTGCAACTGTGTGTCAATAAAAATTATCTGTATAAGAAAATACTATTTCTC